GACACGTGGCCCGCCCATGGATTCAAACGCAGCGAGACGGCTCCACGTATTGTACAGAAGGGGCTCGGCCACAAGAAACCTTCCACAAGAAACCCGACCCTGAGACCTCAGGTCGTCCATTGATTTTTGGTGTGGGATCGTCACGCTTTCCATCGCAAAACCATCAAACCCCAAGAAACCCAGGGCGCCCTGGAAGCAAGCAGGGTCTTTCGTGGCATGGGTTTCCACTGCGTGAAGAGAAGAACGGTTAACATACACTGAACCTGGCCCGACTCATCCTGAGCCCAGGATGGGTGCACACGCCCTCCTGGCTGCTCGGGGCAGGCATACACGCCGATCCTGGAACCAGGATATGCCTGGCCAAAATTGGTGGAGGTGCATACTTGTTTTGTTGATTATCTCTCTCTCTCTATCTATCCTGTCACTCTCTATATGTATATATATAGATATATACGTATATGTGTATGCATATATACATACATGTATAGATAGATGCAGCCCCCTCTTCCGCACTTCGAGCGCGGGCGACCTTCCTGGGTACAGAAAAAGCTGCATAAGCATAAACTCATGGCGCTCCGCGCGGATCTCTTGCATCGGGGGGAGCCCCGCACCCGTGCTCCTCACAGCGCGAGCGGCCACGCGCCCTCGCGCCGCGTCCCCTGGGGAGAAGGGCCAAGGCCGGGCGAACGGCGATGCTGCGTAACGGTGATGCTGGGAACCGAGGTGCAGAGGAAAGCACGAACGACACGCTTTCCTACGCTCCCTATCTGCGAGTGGATCGAGCGACCTGGGAGAAGAGCCAAGGCCGGGCGAACGGCGATGCTGCTTTTAACGGTGATGCTGGGAACCAAAAGGTGTAGAGGAAAAGCACGAACCACACGCTCTCTCCTGCACCTCGCACCCGCGAGTGGATCGAGCGAGCACGCCACGAGGAATCTGTGGGAGCGCGCGGGGGCCACGCGCTGCCCGCACCTCCGAAACCCACGTCGCCGTTGCCCACGTCACCGGTTGGCCCGTCCACGGTCTCTCCCCGGCGGTGCCCGGGAGCACGCGAGGGCTCGGGGGGGGGAGCCCCGCGCCCCGTGCGCCTCACAGGCGCGAACACAGCCGCGCGCCCGCGCGCCGCAGCCCCCTGGGAGACGGGAAGCCCCTCGGGGTCAGACCATCGTCATCAGCAGCACCAGCATAATCATCAGCATCAGCATCAGCATCAACAACAGCATCAGCATCAGCATCATCATCAGCAGCAGCAACAGCATCGACATCACCATCGTCAACAGCATCAGTATCATCACCATCCGCCCCAGCATCATGAACAACAACAGCGATAACAAAAACAACAACAACAACAACAACAACAACAACAACAACAACAACAACAACAACAACAACAGCAACAACTTCTTCAACAACAACAACAACAACAACAACAACAACAACAACAACAACAACAACAACAACAACAGCAGCAGCAGCAACAACAACAACAACCATAACAACATCATCAGACCGCGACGAGAGAAGCGCAATGGCAGTCGGGCCGCTGCCACAAGGAGCCCCAAATAGTGTCGGCCCGTGTCATGAGGGTGCGCGAGAAGGGGAGGCCACGTCGACACCCTGCGAGCGGGGCGCGGCCAGCGGCGACACCACGTCGACGCCTTTTGCAGGCGGCCAAGGATGGGCCGACGGGGCAGGGATGCAAGGGGGTACCCTTGGGCAGGTTGCCCATCTTTCTCATGCGGGTTGACTGTAAGGAACGAGGCCCAAGTTTCCCACGGGTCAAACTGCGATTCCACACAGGAAACCTGAGGCACACCTGGGACAAGCTGAAGAGCACCAAGAAGGAACACCGAGCCCCTCCCCAACGACAGGGGGTCCTTCTTCAGCGGCCCAGCTGTACAGTACAGTCGGGGCGTTGACCTAAGGAACCCTAAATAAGGAACGAGGCCCCTTTTTTCCATAAGTTCAACTTCGATTTCCCATCGAGAACATCGGAAAACCTGAGGCAATCTGTGACCCACTTAAGGAACGCGGAGCCCCTCCCCAACGAAAAGGGTTCCTTCTTCAGCGGCCCAGCTGTACCTTCGCGCTCTCGCAGGCAACTGGCCTGGGGTCCTTCGCCAGAACACGTGGCGACAAAGGGGAAGGAGCACCGAGCCCCTCCCCAACGACAGGGGGTCCTTCTTCAGCGGCCCGGCTGTACCTTCGCGCTCTCGCAGGTGACTGGCCTGGGGTCCTTCGCCAGAACACTCTCGCCATCGCTCGGACGTCCATTCCCTGTGTTTTTTTTTTTCGGTTTGGTGCGTGGTATTTTCGCCACATGATCAAGGATGCTCCTCGATGGTCCTCGCCGAAGGAAAAAACGCAAACGTCCGAGCGATGCCAAGCTCCCCCCCCGCCTGCAACAGCAGCAGATCGTCTGTCGCAGCGAATCTCTGCCACGACGGCGGAGACCGCAGAGCCGCCAAGTATAAGTGGGCCAGGGGCCGCCCCTGTCCGGGAGACCCAAAGAGCCCCAGACATCCAAAAGCACCCAAGACATCCTGACGATGTCTGCGCAGTACCACCATCCTAACTCATTCTCCTCCTCCTCCTCCTCCGTCATGAGGGGAAGTAATCCTGGTGGAAGCACGTCCTGGACCCCAGGGATTTCCCCCCAGACCCAGTTTCGCATCCCGACTCCTTGTTTACTGCCCCGGGAACCTTTCCAACGGCGGGAAACCTACACGACCCCTCTCCTCCAGGATTTGTCCTCCTCATGCTACGCCACGCTCCTTCCCAGAAGGCCGAACAAAAAGGCTTCTCAAGTAGAGAAACAAAAACGACATGAACAGAAACTGTTGACGGTCCGCGCGGGTTTCTTGGATCCGCGCTGGGACCCCCCTTGGCAGCGCCTCCGCCGCCGCCCCTGGCGCGCTCCGCGCGCCAGGGAGGGGGGTACCAGCGCAGATCCAAGAAATCCGCGCGGATCGCCGAAAGTTTCTGCTTATAGTCGGGTTGCTGAAATAAGGAGCGCTAATTACTCACTGCGTTGAGCTCCCCATATGTGCATCTCATGTTATATGTCATGCCATAGCGAGCGTTTGTTCATGAGCGTTTGACTATAATAGCGCGTCCACGTGGGCGACAGGGCCAACGAAGACGAGTGAATCCGAATGCGAGTGAGTGAGTATGAATCAGAGTGAGCTTTGAGTATGATTGAATATGAACCTCCCATTCACTCCCCCTCCTCAATATTCTGGCCGCGAACGGGCCCGTGTTCTACCCCCCTGGCGGCTCCCCTTAGGGATGCTGAAACCAGCGCCCCGCCTGAGACATCCTCACAAACTGCCCTAAACGCAAACGAGTTTGCCCACCAACACAGCCAAACCGCCTGAGACATCCCCACAAACTAACAGCGAACGGGCCCGTGAACACATCCCTGGTGGCTCTCTTAGGGGTGCTGAAACCAGCGCCCCGCCTGAGACATCCTCACAACCTGCTCTAAACGCAAACGAGTCTGCCCACCAAAACAGCCAAACCGATTGAGGCATCCTCACAAACTGGCAACGAACGGGCCCGTGAAAACACCCCTGGCGGCTCCCCTTCAGGGGTGCTGAAACCAGCGCCCCGCCTGAGACATCCTCACAAACTGCTCTAAACGCAAACGAGTCTGCCCACCAAAACAGCCAAACCGCCTGAGGCATCCCCGCGAACGGGCCCGTGAAAACACCCCTGGCGGCTCCCCTTAGGGGTGCTGAAACCAGCGCCCCGCCTGAGACATCCTCACAAACTGCTCTAAACGCAGTCTGCCCACCCAAACAGCCACACCGCCTGCGACATCCCCACAAACTGGCCGCGAACGGGCCCGTGAAAATACCCCTGGCGGCTCCACTTTGGGGAGTATGAGTAAGAGTAAGTCTGTGTATGAGTACCTCTGGGTGGGAGTAAGTCTGAGTATGAGGAAGTCTGTGTATGAGTAAGTCTGTGTAGGTGTACGTCTGGGTATGAGTAAGTCTGGGTATGAGTAGGTCTGAGTATGAGTATGCCTGAGTATGAGTAAGTCTGTGTATGAGTAAGTCTGTGTATGAGTAAGTCTGGGTATGAGTAAGTCTGTGTATGAGTACGTATTGGCATGAATAAGTCTGAGTAAGAGTAAGTCTATGTATGAGTAAGTCTGTGTTCTGGGTGTGTTCTTGTTCTCTGGAGTCGGCGGCGTCTAAGAAATAGCAAGAACCCCATCTTAGGATATGTTGAAATAAGGAACGACGCCCCTCTGTGGCTTCAAAACAGCCTGGGTGCACGAGAAGGGCTGGAGGAGCAACCACGGCAGGACGCAAGGAACATCGGGCCCCTTCCGGATCCAAGCTGGCCCTTCTTTCAGCGTCTTGGCTGTATGCCGTTTCTTCCACTTCGATAACCCTGTCCCACGGAGATTAATCCCACAGGGATAGTAAAGTTCGGGGTCGCGGGGGGATTATAAATGTTGCCTACCGGAGGCCAGCATGTGCGAGGAGAAAGAGATGATGTTAAGAGGACCGAAAGCCGAGGATCGAGGATCGAGAATCGAAGTCCGAGGATCGAGAATCGACAGAGAGAGAAAGGATCGAGTAGTTAAACCATGCCGAAACAAACGTCTGCGCATCAAACTCTCCTGGGCCTCCTCGGCCGCGGCGCGGCGGAGATACGCGGCGGCTCTGCGCGGATGCCCCGCGCGGAGCGCAATTACCCATGGGATCGCGCGCTCCTGCGATCGCGCCTCGGTGTCCAGGGCACGACGGGATGACTATAGACACACATTCGCTGCTCGTCCTGCTCCTCCGCCTCCTCCTCCTCCTCCTCCTCCTCCTCCTCCTCCTCTCCTCCCTCCTCCTCCTCCTCCTCCTCCTCCTCCCTCCTCCTCCTCCTCCTCCTCCTCCTCCTCCTCCCCCTGCTCCTCCTCCTCCTCCTCCTCCTCCTCCTACTCCTCCTCCTCCTCCTCCTCATGTAGACGGACCTCATCCCAAACCCCCCAGGCGTGCCGGCAACGGGCTCGAGGAAAGCCGGTCCACCTCTGGCGGGCGGGTCGTGGTCAGATTCGACGTCGTCGCCGCCGCCGTCGCCACCGCATTCGTGGTCGAAGGATCGAGGATTGAGGCGCTTGGACGTTGTACCAGTCGTTTTGAGCCTTGTGACAGCTGCGCGGCAAACCTGGAAATAACAGCCAGAGACGAACAAAAACTTGACCCCTAGATCTAACCTGCTGAGGACAAGGGTGGAAGACGTATGGGAAGGATCCTCGTGCTACAAACGAAATCGTGAGTGGGAGAATGGCGTGAGAAAGCTAAGCTACGGATAAGCTGCGAAGGAAATCTCTCAAAAAAACAGTTCCGAGGTTATGCAAGACAGAGACTGTGCGCTGCCGTGTGCAGGTCTTGGTCAAACCTGTTAGAAGGCTTTGAATACTGCCGGGGAGAGGGACTTCCATCCAGCTGTGTACTGCCAGATGCCAGCAACGCTGAACAGCGCCTCAGCACACAATCGTGGGCGAATTCAACAATGAAAGGGAAGGAAACCGAAGGTGAACCGAAACGAAGATAAGCCCCTCCATCGATCACGTGAACCACTACGCAGCGACGCCCAATGCCAGCATTTGAATGTGGCCTCTCTGGCAAATGTGCTACGCTCGGAGCGGAGGCACGTGGCACAACAGTTGTGATCTTCAAACGGACTTTGGATCGGCCTGCCTGTTTGCTTAGCGACATTATTCTGCAAGACTGCGCTTCAAGTGCTTCAATTAAGAAGCAGTCCTACTTCTGGCAGCCTCTGCGACCAGGGATCTGTACTAGGCCTGATGGCGATGACGAGATATCATCCAGGCCACCCGACAGACCCATGTGGCATATGCCTGCTATCGAACAACTATTTATAGATGTCTAATTCCAGACAAAAGAAAACATTAGTTGTGTGTATATACACAGCATATTATCGTCGCCGTGTTAATCCAACTGCCGCGGGGTATCCTAGTGCCGTCTGGGAGTCTTCTCGGACAGTCGCAACCTTCGCGCCGTCGTGGGCTTCTCATGGGCGTCTGGAGAATCTCGGCAGGCCCTCTTTGGTCGTCGTGGCGCCTTCTTCGGCCGTCTTGGGCCCACCTTGGAGCCCGCGTGGCCAGTCTCGAGGCTGCCGTGGGTCCGTCCAGGGCGCGCTGTCATGGGCCAGCGGAATCCTTCCAGAACCCTCTTGGGCTCCCAAGCGGGCCTCTGAAAGCCGTCTGAAGCCGGAAAAGGCGGGGGAGCCAGGATACACCCAACACGTTGTGTGTTAAAACGTGTTGGATCTCTGTTGGCCTTCAGGCGCCCTTTTGGACCGTCTTGCCGTTTTGGGGACGCCCTGATGCCGCTTCGGGGTCGTCCTGGGCACAGTTGATGCACATCTAAACATTCATGTTAGCCAATGAGGGCTCCAAACTATGTGTTTCTAGCAATGTATGAGGTGTTGCCTACGTGGAACCATATGTGTAATTGTCCCTATTTGGTGCAATCTATGTTATGCAACCCATGTGGTGCAGTCTGCGTTGTGCAATCTCGGTGGTGCACTACAGGTTGCGCAGTCCACGTGGTGCAACAAAAAATGTGCAATCTATGTGGGGCGATCTGCGTGGTACAATCTATGTAATACGACGTGTGTTGTAATGTATGTGGTGCACGCTAGGTGGTGCAACCTGCGAAGTGCAATCTATGATGTGCAGTCTACGGGGTGCAAAATATGCAACAGTCGAGCTGATCCAGCATATGTGGTGCAATATCTGGTGTACCAAATATGTGGTGCATCCGATCTGGAACAATCCGCGTGATTCAATATATGTAGTACAAGCTATGTGGTGTAATTAATTTACTGAACTTGAAATTGTCTTCCCCATTGCTCGAGCAAACATCCCACCCTCCCACCCGCAACTTGGTCAGCAAAACTCACCAAGCGACGACGACGACGACGACGACGACGACGACGACGACGACGACGACGACGACGACGGCGCGCGCGCATGTGTCCCGCATGGTATTATTTGACACGGACAGTGGCCCTGGCAGGCGCGCGGACGTCGTTGAAGGAGCGCGCGAAAGTAGCTCGCACGAGCTCGTGCGACCGAAATGTTGAAAAAAACAGCGCGAGCGGGCAAAATTTTGAAAATCCGTGCAAGTTTTTTTCGAGGACCTACGGTGCGATTCGGGTGCTTTTATGATACGCAGTGCTGAAATGCTCAAGAAACCCAATGGTTTTTGAAGATTTCGGCGCGCGCGCGCGCGAAGAAAAAACGAATGTGTCCCGCATGGAATTATTTGACAAGGATTATGCCCCTGGCAGGCGCGCAGCCGTTGTTGAAGAAGTTTGAAGCGCAGGAAAAAGTTGCTCGCAAGAGCCCTTTTGACAGAAATGTTGAAAAAGTAATGGGTTTCCTAGGAATCCGCAAGAGCGCGCGGGGTGAATGTTTGAAACTTTGGGTTTTTGAAGTTTTTATGTTAAAATCGCTACGAGCACTAAGGTTTTGGAAGGATTTTTGTCTTGCGCGCGCGAATGTGTCCCGCATGGTATTATTTGACAGGGATTCGTGAAAAAGTGTTATGTTAGAAAGAAAAATGTCCCCGCATAGTGTTATTTGATAGGGAACCGCAGGGGGGGGGATACCGGCTTGGCTGGGATGGTACGAATTCATATTTAGGATGGACAGGTGGTCAGAATCAGATGTGATTTAAAGCACGCGCGGGGGAAGCGATAAGTCCGGGGGGGGAGGGGGGGAGAATCTATTACTCTTTTAGAAAGGAGAACCTACGTTGCGCAATGTAGGTGGAACCTCATATATTGTGCATGCTACCTATATGGCGCAACCAATTTATGTGACTCACCCGCAACTTGGTTTGCAAAACCCATGCGGCGGCGATTGCGAGGGATCCTTGGCGTTGGCTGGTGCACCTCTGCGGCCACGCCAGCCCAAGCACGCGCGCGCAGCGGCCAGCTACTTCGGCGCGGCCGAAGGCGGTAGCGCTGACCGTTGGTCACATCCTAGCGGGCACTTCAGTGCGAGTCGGTGACTCGGGCGGGCCCGGTATCATGGCAACGTCGACCGTTGACGACGGTAGACACGATGATGATCGTAGAAATGGTGACGATGTTGCCAAAGATGGCGGCAAGGCCAGTGACGGCGACAATGCTGATCACGCCGACGGCGATGACGGTATGCTCGCGTCGGCGATGAAGGTTTTGGAAAGAGTTTGACATGCGCGCGCGGCCGACGCGCGAGTGGCTCGAATGTCACTATTTGACACGGACCACTCCCCCCCAAACACGCGCGCAAGGGCCTGCGAATGATTTCGGCCCGCGGCGTTGGCAGAAGTAGGAGAAAAAGTTAAAACACGGATGGTTTTCTCAAGAATTCGCCAGAGCGCGAGAGCACGTGTTTTGAAAACTGATGTTGCGAAACCGTGTGCGCTAGATATGTGTGTTGGCCACTTGGTTTTGAAATCGTTACGAAACCGACGGTTTTGACAGATTTCGGCATGTGCGCGCGACGACGCGCGCGCGTGCATTCCGTCCCTTCGTTTGCAAATTATTCTCGCGACTGCACGGGCGCGAAGACTTGTTGGTAGCATCTTCTGGAATGATGAAACACCGATGGTACTTGCCCCAGAATTAGCAGGAGCGCGCGCGCAAGCTTTTTTTCATTTTCATTGTATGTATAGATGTTTGTACGTATGCATATATATATGTATGTATATATACACGCATACATATATTCGTGCTGCGAAACCCAAGGCTTGTTTTGTTGTTTAATGTTTCTTGGACACTCGATTTTGAAATCCTTGCGAAACCGAGAACTGTTGAAGGATTTCGGTAAGCGGGCGCGACAACGCGCGCGTGCGCACCTCATCCCGGTTTGTTGCAAGGGATTCTCGGAAACTGCTGATTGCTAACAAACACGTGCGCGCGCATATTTTTTTTGGCAAAGGACGGCGGGGGGGGAGACCGCCCCTCCTGGGATTGTGCAAACTCATGTTCAGGATGGACGATGGGACAGAATCATACGCGCAGTGCAATACGAAAAGGGGACCGGAAATCCCAGGGGTGGGGGCGGGGGGACAATGTGTTTTTGCAAGAGAAGAGAACTGAATACCCTGCACCGCGTTTGACCCCCTCCCACGCTCTTGAAAACATCCCACCCACCCGCAACTCGGTTTGCAAAACCCATGCGCCGGCGATGGCGATGAAAACTTGGCATTGGCTGGTGCATCTCTGCGGCCGCGCTGCTAGCCCGCGCACGTTCACGCGCACAGCGGCCAGCAAATTTGGCGCGACCGACGCGGCCGCGGTGGCGCTGACCGCTTGGCGTTTCCCAACGGGCACTCCAATGCGAGTCGGTGACTCGGGCGGGCCCGGTATCATGGCAACGTCGACCGTCGACGACGGTAGACACGATGATGATCGTAGAGATGTTTACGATGTTGCCAAAGATGGCGGCAAGGCCAATGACGGCGCCAATGCTGATCACGCCGACGGCGATGACGGTATCCTCGCGTCGGTGATGAAGGTTTTGGAAGGAGTTCGACATGCGCGCGCGGCCGACGCGCGAGTGGCCCGAATGTCACTATTTGACACTGATCGTGCCCCCCAGCACGCGCGCAAGGGCGTCAAAAAATGATTTCGGCATGCGGCGCGAAAGGCCCGTTTGGCCGAATTCCTTGAAAATGCTGAGAAACAGATGGTGTTATAAAGAATTCGCAGGAGTGCGAACGTACGTGTTTTTGAGAAGTGATGTTGCGAAACCATGTGTCTTTACATGTGTGGTGACAGTCGGTTTTGCAATCGCTGCGGAGCCGAAGGTGTTTGACGGATTCCGGCATGCGCGCGTGACGACGCGCGCGTGCGCACTTCGTCACATTTTTTCCAAAAAGGATTCTCGCGACGGCACGCGCGCAAGGGCGTTCGAACGATTTCGACATGCGCGCGCGAAGCACGTTTGGTAGCATTTTCTGAAAATGGTGGAACAATCAATGGTCTTTTTCAAAATTGCCCAGAGCGCGCGCAAGTTTTTTTTTGTGAAAATCATTGTTGCGAACCCCTTTGTTTTCTATACAATTTTCGGACACTCGATTTTGAAATCTCTACGGAGCCTACGGTTTTTGACTGATTTTGGCACGCGCGCACGACAACGCGCGCGTGTGCACTCTATTTCGCCTCTTGCGAAAGATTTCTGGAAACTGATGATATTTGATAAACGAGTGCGCGCTTAGTATGATTTGCAGAAGGGGCGATACCGGCTGGGCTGGGGCGGCATGAGCCCATTTTTAGGATGAACGATCGGGCAGAATCGTATGTAAGTTGCACATTCCCAAGGGGGGTCTGGCGTCGGGAGGGTGGTGGAGTCTATTCTCTTTCTAGAAAGGGGAATATATGTGGGGCAGCCTATGTGGTGCAAAGCGACGGGGCGGCGACGAGGCGGCGAAAGGGTCGCGACTTTGACGGCATAGCCGCCAGACTGCCACACTTGTCCAGACGACCGGCGGCGGCGAGGCAACGACGTGACAGCGACGGCGGCCACATAGCCGCCAGAGCGGCGAACCGTCTCAGACGACCGGCGGCGACGAGGCGGCGACGGGACGGCGACGGGACGGCGACGGCTGCCACATAGCCGCCAGAGCGGCACACCAGCTCACTTCGCTAGAATACTATGAAAAAACCACTAAGTGCAGCCACGATTTGAAGACACACACACACATATATATATATATATAACCATGTACAAAAAGACTATATAATTATATATGTACACACGCATCTATGTGAATATATGTTCGTCGGTATACACACATGTCAGAGCACGATCTGTCTACACATACAAACAGCAAGCACGTGCCCGCAGCAACGGCCAGACAGAGCAAATTGATGGAAACACCTCGTCGGAATGTACTCTCGAACGCTCGAAATGCAACCGTCTGAACCATTGAAGGGCCTCGGATAGAATTCTCCCTGAGGCTAGACACAAGAGAGCGCTACACAGCACCCGGTATACAACACTAGACAAACAAGCGAAAGGAGGGCCAGAGGGTCGGAGCTTGAGCCAAGGAGCCGTGTTACGGTGCGGCCCCATCAACCCTCCCTCTTCGCTCTACGAAGTGAGTGCTTACCAGCACGTGCGTGCAGCTCACCGGCGGCTGGGCAGCGCAAGCTGATAGTATAAACTTTTCGACGCACGCTAAGATCGGGAGCGGCCAAGAGGAGGGTGTCCAAGAGGGGGGGTGCAAATCATGACCGGCGGCACGTGCGCGGCCCAGCGGGGGGCCAGGGACGTACCCCCCGCCTCCGCAGGCCCGTGGGGCCCGGAACAGGGCCGAACACGCCCTAACGCCGGGACCGCAGACCCCCGAGGTGGTGGTGGTGCACGTTGGCTTAAGCGTTGCAGCTGTGCTCTCGCCATCGCTCGGACGTCCATTCCCTGTGTTTTTTTCGGTTTCGTGCGTGGTTTTTTCGCCAATTGATCAAGGATGCTCCTCGATGGTCCTCGCCGAAGAAAAAATGCACACGTCCGAGCGATGCCAAGTCCATGGGGCAAGACGTTGCAGCCGGCGCTCGCTCGCAGTAGCCCTGTTGGCCGGGATCCTGGCCAGAGCCCCCGAGGAGGGAGGAGGACGCGCTCGGCGCCCTCTCGGAGCAGCGCGCGCCTCACTGTTGTCCGGGGCCACGTTCTCCTTGCTGGGCATCGCACGCCGCCTGCCAGGGCTGCCGCGAGGCACGGCGGGGGGGGACGGGCGGGGGCTGGGCACGGAGGGCGAGAGAGCAACGAGACAGCGAGAGAGAGAGAGAGGCCGCGCAAAGAACAGGATTCGTCGGCGGAGGAAGCGAGCAAGCGCAGAGCTTCTATTTCACGATTAAGTGTTTACATATGATGCACGCCAGATCGAATAAGATGGCTGATGCAATACAGGATAGAAAGAGGGAAGCAGACAGAGAGAGGGAGAGAGACGGATAGGGAGGGGCAAAAGGGAAAGAGAGAGAGAGAGTGATACATAGAGAGAGAGAGAACAAAAAAGAGAGAGAGAGAGACAACAAAAAAAACACTAAAAATAAAACAGAAAGAGAGAGAACGAAATCATGAATAATTGCAGAAACGGTACAATGAACCGGAAATCCCACAGCCTTCTTGCCGTAGGTGGCTTCTTCTTCTTCTTCGCACCCCCAGTCGTCCACTTCGGGGAGGGCATACCCCTCCCCATTCTCCCTCCCCCATTGGTCCGGACAGGGGGGGCGGCGAGGTGTCAGAGGTCGAAGATAAGCCATGATGGCTCTAAGACGGCCCCACATTGCCCAAGATGATTTCCAAGATCGCACGCGACACCGCAAAATGGCCCCAGATACACCAACACGTATCCACAAGGATCCGAGACCACACAAGACGGCTCCAAGTGGCCACGGAACCTCGCAAGGACGACCCCGAGAGGTCAAAATCTCTCGGACTCCATAGAAGATCAACATGTTTTGTTGTACCGTATGGCATCTTTGCTTCTGGACTCAAGGATGCCCGCACAAGGTGCCCAGGAAGGCGCCAAAACGGACCCAGGAGCGCCCAAGAGCGCCCTAAGAAAGCCCCAAGAGGGCTCCACGAGATGGTTCTGGAGCATCCGCCGGGGGTGGTGTGGGGGGTGTGTGGGGGGAGGGGGGGCAATTTACGCAGCCTTCATTTTTGGCGGTTGTCCTCCAAGATGGCCACAAGAGTGCCCCCCAAGGTTCTCGAAGGGGGTTCCCTATCTAGCCCTGAACCCGCCCTGGGCAGAAACTCGGCTAGAGACTTTTTCGCCGCGCTCGCCGCATGGCCCGTGCCGCTACGCCCTGGCTCTCAGCTCTCGGATCGCGGCGCACGCCTGCTGCATCATCTCCTTCGTAGCGTTCGGCGCGTTGCCGCTGAACAGGTTACCGTCCCGAACCGTCTCGCCCGGCTTTCTCTTCTCGAAGCGGGCGAGCACGTCGCGGAAGCTCGTCCAGCACCCCGTGTAAGCAGTGAACTTGCCTTCTCGCATCCACTTAGAGCCTATCAGGGCCTCGGGGCCGTGGCACACGGCCGCCGCGACGTCCGCGCCGTCCATGATGGCGGTGATGGCCTGGTCGCCGAGCATGTAGTAGGGGCACTGGCCGCCGGCCACGAAGAAGCTGTCGAAACGGGCGCCCGCCGAAACGCAGTTCGCCGGCGTCGTGGGGAGGGCGAGGACGCAGTCGCGGAGGCCGTACATCCGGTTCCCGAAGACCGTCTCGGTGGTCACGGTCCTGACCGGGGGCGCGACAACGGGGGAGGCCGCGAAGGGGGCGGCCTTCTCAGAAGCCAGGGGTTCCTCCTCCTCCTCCACCTCCTCCTCCTCCCCCTCCTCCTCGTCCATTCCTTCTCCTTATAAGCAACTTCTCCCTGTCGCACCCCGAAGCCAGTTTTAGGGCGGGCCGGGCGCTTCGCCTGAGAATTCCTCACCATTTATGATTCTGAAGTTTCAAAGTTGGCAAAAGCGTCACAGATGGAGGGCGGGTGGTTTTCAAAATGTGGCTCTCGCCCCAGCGCCGCGCACATTCGTCGTAAAAAATGCAAGAGATATTCACAGATTGAGGGCGGGTGGCTTTCAAAATGTGGCCCTCGTCTTAGCGCCGCGCATATTTGTTCGAAAATGTTGCAAGAGCTTCAGGGATTGAGGGCGGTTCCTTTTCAAAATCTGGCTCTCGCCTCAGCGCCGCGTACATTCGGCCTGAAATGTTGCAAGAGCTTCACGGATTGAGGGCGGCTCCTTTTCAAAATCTGGCTCTCGCCTCAGCGCCGCGCACATTCGTCATAAAATGTTGTAAGAGCTTCACGGATTGAGGGCGGCCCCTTTTCAAAACCTGGCTCTAGCCTCAACGCCGCGTACATTCGTTTTAAAATTCTGCAAGAGTTTCACGGAATCCCATTATCAACGTACCAAGAAATGATATGTTGGAAGGACTCAGGCTTATCAGGGCGCACAAGCTATGTTGATTCGCGGTGTTCAAGTCCCAGCTTGGGCGTTCTGGCACGATTCAGGACCGTCAAGACGCAACAGTCAGGTTGATCCGTGGCGTTGAAATCCCGAGAACCATGTCTTGGCATGCATCAGGATCTTCAAACAGTTAGTTGTCTTCCAACGAGGCAGTTCCCTCAGTAAAAATAACCGCTGTAGGGTCCTGAAAAGGGAGCTTGGAGGGAGAGTCTATTCCAACATCGTTGATGCCTCTTGGGTTTACACTGGTCCTCCTCCTCCTCCTCCTCTTCTTCTTCCGCCTCCTCCTCCTCCTCCTCCTCACCGAGGGCTCCTCGGGAGCGCCCTGCCTGCTCGGAGAAGGCCGCCCCTCTCACCCGCCACCCCCGCTTCGGCGCGCCCCGCCGACCTGAGCTGCTCCCCCGTGGAGGTGCTGTGGCTGATCAGCTGGAAGCTCATCTGGGCCTCCATCAGGTGCGACACGATCGTGAATAGAAGAGGAGAAGACGGCACAAGCATAAACATCTAAACGCGCTGGGCCCCCCTCCCTGGCGCGCGAGGCGCCGCCGGGGGCCCCAGCGCGGATGCAAGACATCCGCGCGGAGCGCCAAAAGTTTATGTTTATGTCGTTTTTTCTTCTTCGAGCGAAGGCCTCGACCGGGTCCGCGACCTCGTCGACGAAGACGGCGGAGCACGGGCCGCCGCCGCCCCAGCGCCACCCGGCGCCCTCCATGCCGGGCAGCCTGGCCACGTGCAGGCGCCTCACGGGCTCCTCGGTCCAGAGCCGGTGCGCCCTGGAAGGGCCGGCGGCGCGGGCGGCGCCGACGCCCGCGGCCTCGAAGAGCGCGTCCGCGGTCGCCGCGCCCCAGTAGCCCGCGGAGACGAGGACGGCGCCGCTGGGCCCGGGGCAGCGGCACACCGCGCGGGCCCCGCTCGGGCGCAGCCCGTTGATCTGCAGGAGCCGCTCCTGCCGCGGGGGCGCCGCGGCCTCGAGGCCGGCCACGACGGAGGGGCCGCCGTCGCCCCCGCCGCTCTGGGCGCCCGGGCACGCGAGGAGCACGTCGAGGCCGTGGCCGACGGCCACGAGGGTGGCTCCCAGCTCCACGTGCCTCGCGACCAGCCGGCCCGCTGGCGCGCCGCCGGCGATCGCCGTGGCGATCAGCGTGTGGGGCATGAGGCCGCCGACGAAGTAGAGGCTCGCGAGCCGGAGCTTCTCGGACAGCGGCATCGCCCCCTGCGCCTTGCTTTCTGGGCTGTAGGCGTCCCTCGGGGTCAAAGCCGGCTCCCCGCTCTCGGTCAGGGTGGGCACGAGGTTCACCCGGTGCCAGACCCGGACGTCCTTCCATGCGGGGTCCAGAGCCTCCTGCTCGGCCTTGTGCTCGAAGTCGTTCACCGCCGTGAAGTGCCAGCCGCCGTTGAAGCCCGGCGGGTTCCCGACGAACACGTACTGCTCCCCGCTCCGGTCGAGCCGCTCGGCGATCATCCCCATCTGCATGCCGTCCCCCTTGAAATCCGCAAGGATCCCGTGGACGGGCCGGCTCCAGTCCAGCTCGTCGTGGTCGAAGCCTCCGTAGAATCGGTTCTCGATTGAAGAAGAACACAAAAGCCCAGGGAGCATAAGCTGTCGGGTGTCCGCGCAGATTTCTCGGGGCGGCGCCGGAGGCGCCGCCGGAGGTGGGGGGAAGGGAGGTCCAGCGCCGACCCAAGAAGTCCGCGCCCACCTCCGAAGGCTCAGTCACATGCCGCTCTCTGCTCTCCCAGATCGTGAGCTTGACCTCCTCTGCCTGGGGGCCTCCTAGATGGGCTCCGAGCAGATGGGGTCGGAGGATCTCGCCGCATCGCCGATACATTGGCGATGCCTCGCCGATGCATCGGCGATGCTTCGGCGACGTCGGCGATGCATCGGCGACGTCGGCATGGAGAACATTAGGCTCCACACCGACCCGCATCGCCGATGCATCTGCGATGCGGCGCGATCCCCTCCGACCCCGTCTGCTCGGAGCCCCATCTATAGGAGGCCCGAGAGCTGCCTGCGGCAGGCCGCAGAGCTGCTCCCAGAGCTCGGCCCTGTCCGGAGGGGCGCCGGACCCGATGCCGTGGGCCGCCAGCGCCTTGGCTTACGTCGGGCATGTCCCCCTAGAGGGGGATTGTCAACGAGAAAATAACAAATACTTCCCAAATAAGCAACACATAATCCAAAAATAGTCTGGGGACTATGTTTTTTGACTATTTGTTGGCCTTTGGGGGGCATTTGGGGGGTCTTTTTTCTCGTCGAAAATCCCCCTGCAGGGGGGACACGCCCGACATAAGCCTTGGCCGCGGCCTCCTGCAGGGCCGCCATGGCGCCGGGCGGCGCCGAGGCGGGCGGCGCTCAAAGATGTGGGGAGAGGCGGCTCGAGGCGCGCGCCGCGCCCCGCCGGCGCCCTTAAAGGGGGGAAGGCGCCCAGAGACAGGGCTCGAGTGAAGCCGTGTTTTCCGTTTTCGTGTTGTGTTCGCCCTCCCCTGTTTTGCCCTCGTTCCACGTGTGCTGCAGAACGAAGTCAACACGAAAACGGCCCACGAAAGTGCCAAAACACCGCTTCGCTCGAGCCCTGCCCAGAGAGCCGACGCTCCGAGAAGATCGGTGCGTCCCGTTCTCGGCCGCGTTTTCGGCCTCTGGGGGCCCTCGCGCCGGGAGGGGAAGGAGGAGGAGGATGAGGAGGGGGAGGAAGAGAAGGGGGAAGGAGGAGGAGGAGGAGGAGG